CATATCTCTGCCATGTTGCCTGATTTCTGAAATTATACCAGGCTTCCTCAGCCCTGCATTATTTTAACAATAATGGCAGATACGTCCCTCACCAACTAAAAGGTACCCATATATCTATACACAACAGCAATAATAGCAAAATCGAGCATCTACTCTGTGCCAAGCCCTGTACTAAGCACTTACATACATTAGCTCATCTGACGGTCACAATTACCATAAACAGTAGGTTTTTTTATTCTCCCCATTTTATGTATGAAGAAAGAGAGGTTTGGAGGATAAATAATTTACCCCAGACCCTATAGCTACTGTAGGAGAGGAAGACAAATCCTCTACCCATTCTAGGTCCTTCTGGCTGGTCTATGAATTAAATTGACATGAGACAGAATAAAAGGAGAAAATCAAATAAAGCTTTATAACATGTATATATGGGAGAGACCCAGGAAAACTGAGTAACTCAACAAAATGGCCGAGCTGCCAGCTTCTATGTTATCTGCAGCTAAAGACAAAGGAGGATATCGGGAGTGGAGAGAGTCAGTTATGGAAGATTACCAGAAAAGCACAGTAAACAAGAGTAAGGTTATTATGCACATTTAAGTCTTTGCTTTCCACATTGATAAGAGTTTCTAGAGATAAGGTTATCCACCCTTCTTCCTGGCACAGAGAGGGAGACACCTTTACAGATGGAGATTTCCCTTATAAATGTAAATGTCTCTTACAAACGGTAACTTCTACTTCTACTTGGTTTTCAGAGCTTTTCCTGTGTCTGCAGTTTTGAAAAGGAACCAGCCCAAAATAATCCGTATGCCAAAGAGACAGATTTTGGGGTGGCCAATTCTGATCCCCCACACTACTAACTGGTAAAGGCAAAGTCCAGTTTCTTAATCATTATGCAATACTTTTATATGATGCTTGCAGCATAGAAGGTACTCGGTAAATATTTATAGCTGAATGAATGAGCCAGTGCAGGAAACATTGGCAAACTCATTCATCACTTATATTAATACAGATAATAATAGCCTAAGTAAGACCTTGAGCCTTAAACAGACCTGTCATTTGGTGAAAATATTGACTGTGAGTTCTCCCTGTGTAGAAGTAAGATGTGTGAAATTCACACCTATGTAAAATATAACACATCTATTATGGGCAATCATTAACGATACAAAGAAGCAGAAAGGCAATGTGAAGAAACAAATAATTAAAATTGTCAATGGAAATGTTTTAAATGACTCTGAAATAATTTCTTAATCTTTTTTTCTCACATTAGCGAGTTCCTTGGCAGTAAAATATGTGTACAATTTGTATTGCATTTATCTTCAGAGACATCAGCATAAATATATACAAAAGGGCTCACATCTACCTGCAAAGGTTCCAAGTGGGTCCCGGCTCCTAAACTGCTCTCTTTTTCTGCCAGTCTGCACCATTTAATCTTCCTTAGACAATACATTCATCTTGCGGATCAACTACTCAACTGTTTTCAAATACTGCCTTTTCCTACTATGTCAGATATAAATTCCTCATGCCCAGCTCTTAAGGCCTCCCACCAAATTTCCTGCGCTCAGGTTAGCAGGCTCTTCTCTGTCTCACAGATATACAAGGCTCATTGTCACCTCCATGGCTTCACAACTGTCCGTCTGCCTAGAATGTCCCACAGTTCTACTACTCAAATCTTCACTAGGCCTAGTTCAAGTTCCACTTCCTCGTGAAACTCCTCTGACCACTCTTGATTTTGTTAAAATCAAGACAGCTCTGATCTTAACCTGTCTGGATCAGTCATCTCGCACATAACCCATGGTTCATTCCTGCGCTTCTTTCAGGTCTCTGCTCAAATGTCACTTGAACCATTTGGCCTTCTCTGACTCCCTATTTAAAATGACAACACCCCCTCACCTGGGCACTCCCAAACCTCTTTGCCTGATTTATTTTTATTTTTCTTCCTAGCTTTCATCACCATCTTGTATGTTCTATATTTACTTATTTATTTGTTTATTGTCAGCCTCCCCCTGCCCGGAATGTAAGCTCCATGAAAGTAGGGAATTTTGTATGTTTTGTTACTGTTTTATCTCCAGAACCAAGAATATTTCCTGGCACATAGTAGATGCTCGATAAATATTGGCTGAATGAATGTATGAATCTTCCTCTCTTTAAAATTCAAAGTTATAGCATGCTCTATACTATATCATTTAGCACTTAATTATAGTTAATTTAGGAATGTGAATTCTTGCCTCTTTTACTGTATTTCCAAGACAAATATAAATAATTTCTGGTATCCTTTTATATATTCCTCTCTTTCATCAAGGCATTCCTTCATTAAGTATTCATTAAATATGTGTTGAGCACCTATTATATGTTGTTATATGCCGGGTCCTATTTTTTTAGCAAAAACTTCAAGAACTCATAGTTACACATAAATACACACACACAAAAGCAAGAAACAAGACTGAAATAAAGAATAGTAAAATGAAGACTAGTACAACTGAGAATCCAATATTAGTATGTGGTGTCTGAGTGTACAGGGTGAGTGTGACAGACTGAGTGGGTAGAAAAATGAAAAAAGAGACAGAATGGTGAGAGACTAGAGTAGGATGTCACCAAAGTAATCACCAGATGCTAGTGCTTAATATAAACTGTACCAAAGCAGATATGCAAATATATTCTACATGAATTTTTTAAATTCATATTTCAGAATTCATATCTGCCAGCTATCCTGCAGGTAAAAATTAGATTAAGACTAGCGACATCTGGTGGATATTTTGGAAGTGACCCTTGAGTTTCTCAACTATGAAAACAGTGTAAATGCCCCCATGCCTCTGGACTGCCATTCATAATGTGTTAGGGCTCCACATTACTAATTACACTATCATGAAATAATCTTTCTGTAGGACCCAAGGTCTCATTGCAAGAGGTAACCAGATTTTTATCAAGGACCTTTCTGTCTCCCAACTGATATCCCTCTGCCTTCTGAAGGATATATACAAAATCTGGCACCGCAATTGTTCTTTTAAAAAATAACTTTGTTACTTAAAATGTTCACATCCTTTGACCTAAGGATTCTACTTCCGGGATTCTACCCTAAGGAAAAAAAAGTCTTGAATAAGGAAAGTGATTAGCTATTTACAATGGGGAGGAGAACCTACAAGTCCAACCACAGAGGAATGGTCAAGAAAATTACAGCCATTATGATGTTTACCAAACATTTGTACCCATAATAAAACAAACACTAACAATTTCATATTAACAAATATTAAGTTAAAAAAGCAAAGTCAAAAAGTGTGTGCATATCTCAAATATGTAAATAATATACATAGAAAAAAGACTAGAAGAAAACATTCTAAAATATTAACAGTGACTGCTTCTGGATGGGAGGATTTTTTTTAAATCACGGTTTGCAATATTTCCCAAATGCTCTATAATTAATATGCATTATTTCTATAACGAACATTATTTAAATCTTTTAAACAATGCATATGTTCTTATTAATTGCTAGAATTTTTCCACTTCTGCCTGACTTTATTAATTCCAGAAAAAGATAATGAACAAAGTGAGCTAGAATTTCCACAAGAAGGGGAAGCAAGGAAAGAAAGCAAATATATTACAATTTTCTTCCAGGATCTGAGTCGTGACAGAGAAATCCCCCAGTTGTAGAATTGTACTGAAATTCCATTAATGGCATCACATGCCTCTCAACAGTACAGCAGAAACTTACAGAGGGCTCCGCTGGCAGCAGGGAGTTACAGAGTCTCATAACCACTTGGGTCCCCATCTTCAGAGTCCCCAGAAGAGCTGGATCAGGGCCACCTTAAGACAGGAGAGGGAGAAATGTGCAAAAATACAGCACAGGAAAAAAACTTCGAAAAGCTAAACCAATCTAGTAGGGTCAGGCCCCATCCCCAAATCTACAACTTAAGTCATCTGGAAGTATCAGAAACAGGACCTTGTTTAGGAGGTAATTCAGCCCAAGTATGTTATGTTATAATGAAAACAGGGCTATCCCAATGGCATTTGAAAAACTAGTTGCTTAAGTTCTAATAATAATCAAGTAAATAGCAATGCTTCCCTATCATGAGTTAACGGCAAGGATGCATTTTCCTTCCTCCCTACATTTATCTGTCAAAGACCATAGGAAGGATTCCGAAGACACTTAGGAGAAATACGGGGAGCTCTCCTGACATGCACTTCCCTTCATCCTCAGGAATTCAGTTTTAACCAAGAAAGGCAGCATATATGTTCTAAGGCAGAAAATTGTATATAGCACTTTAAGTTTACAAAGTGCTATCACCTACTTCATCTCATTTCACCGTCATAGTAAATAATCCTTGGAAATAGAGTTCATTTTATTATCTCCAGCTAATAGGAAATAGGCTAGGGGGTTGCTCTGCTACTTAGTGGTGGAGGCAGTTTTCTAGCCACCTTTTCTGAATCCCACTTGCACTAGGTCAGTGCCAGAGAACAGCCAGGAAAAGAGTGGTGGTGGTGGTGATGATGATAATGGCAGTCAAAATTTGCCTACATACTACGTTTGTTCCAAGTACTTTACGTTCTCACACTCTATGAAGTCGATACTATTATTACCAACTTCTTTGTGCTGTGATTCCATCTTCAGTACTCTATCGGTCTTAAGGAATCATCCCTCTCAGGGACAAACCGTGGGGCAGCAGTATTTGGGGAGGATGGTGTAGAGATTGAGAAAGGGAAGTGCATTTCCACTTGTCTCCAAGCTCTAAAAGTCTGAATCAGGAAAGGCACACTAAGAACCTGTAAGGCTTGGATTCGTTTTGGAACCTGAAATTTCCGCCACCTTCTTCCCACCCCGGCCTCGTGCCTCTGTGTGTCCCCAGTTCTGAGCTGGACGCTCGACTGTGGTAATAAAACTTCCCAGATACCCGCCACCTTTCAGCACCTACCTCTTAAATCATCGGTTCGTCTGGTTCAGCAGCTCCGTCTTCAGTCCTTCAGAGCACCGCCTCCTCCAGCTAGAGCGTCGCCGCTGCGTTCCCGCTGCCATGGTGACGCGGGGGCCGGCCCAGGCCCTGCCTGTCTCCAGTGGACCCGCGCCCCGCCCCCTGCAGGCTCGAACTCTGTCTCCTGACAGCCAGGATCCCACCTCCTACCGGCCTAGACCCGGCCCCCTGCCTGTCCTCCTCCTAATGGCCCAGACCACAACCCCTGGCAGCCTTGACCCGCCCCCTGCCTGTCCTGACCCGCCTCTCGCTGGCCCGAGCCTGCCCCGCCTCCTGCTGGCCGGGTCCCCACCCCGCCTCCTGCCGGCCCCATCCCGCCCCCTGTCTGTCCAGACCCGCCTCCTACCGGCTTTGGTCCCCGCCCCCTGCCCGTCTAGACGCGCCTCCTGCTGGCCCGACCCCGCCAGAGACAACTGCTTTCCGCAGATAAGAGGGAGCCTCCTGTCTGTCCAAACCACAGCCCCTCCGCTCCAGCCAAGGCCTGCAGAGTAGGGCTCGAAGTGGCTGGACTTCGGGACCGCCCTTAGGGTGAGCAAGATCTGCTGCGCTTACGTAGAGCCCGCAGACCCCCGCCGCAGAAAACGCACCAGGCATGTTCCTTCCTCTATTTATTGATCCTAGCAGCTCCGCATTTGCGAGAGCCAACATTCCAGCCAAGGAGAGCTTCCGGCCCACGCTGTGCTGTCAGTATCGGTGACTTGAAGGCCTTGTAACCGATGGATCGAAGAACGCTTCCTCCATGCCTCAGCCCCTGCCCTCCTTCATTTAGGTCTGGGACCCCTGACCCAGCCACTGAGGAAATTGCCCACGCCAGCCCTGGAGGCTGTGTACAAGAGCACAGAATGCTTTTCCAGAGCATCTTTGGAGTTTTAGGTGTGTAAAAGGGATTAAATTAAGTCCAACAAAATCAGCTCAAGTGCTTAAGGGGTAACCTGTTCTTTCTGAACTATTTTTTGAGAGCCGGAGCAAAAGTAGGGGTCAAAAACCTACTTTCCTGGACACTCAACCTAGCCCCCTCATTTTGTGGAACTTCTTCCACCCCTAGCTAACCCAAATACAACTCCAAGCTAACGGTGGCAAATAAGAGATAGGCCTAGGGGAGAGAGCGATACTGGGGACACACAATTTCAGGGGCTCTGGAGTTCTTTAAGCTTAAAACATGGCCGCCATCCTGTGGGCTGCCAGCCAACTTCCCAAAGCAGTAGATTCTCCCCACAGGAGTAGTGGTGAGATGACGAAAACGATCCCCCCCTCAAGGCTCACACTAGGGTCCCGTTCTTGCTGTCATAGCGGGGTGTGGCCTGGGGGAAGCGAAGAGTCGCATACTCTGTAGCGTTTTCTAACTGCAGATGCTTCACCTCCCGGGTAGAGCGTGGCTGGGTACGGCTGCACACTTGAATGTCTGCGTAATGTAAGCTGCTGTCCTCCGACCTGAGGCTTTGACTCCTCTCCTGAGACGCAGGCTGCCCTAACACCCGCTTGGACGTATGTCCTGTTGTGTCATGGCCCTGAGAGGAATGGACAGCATTAAGGGAGATTGTTGACTCGGTTTTGCCCCTCGCCTCCAACGCAGGGTCAGCTACACTGACCGCCCTTGGCTTTGCTCCCTTGGGGGACAGAGGAGGATGGGGAGAACCAGCAAGTTATACAGATAACTGAGATGTGTCTGTCCCAGGATGAAAAAGCTGAGTTCTGGGATCCCATGTCTGAGCAGCCCCCTGGAAGGGATGGAGGGCTGTCATTACCTTTGCACCATTCTGCTGCTGCTGCTGCTGCTTCAGTGTTTGTCTTGCTTGGCTCCCTGAGAGGAAGAAATCTGACAAATCCATTCTGCCCACTTCACATCTCTATTAGACTATTATGGTGGGCTTCTAAGTAATCTCCCTGCCTCTTTCACTTCTACCATTCCCACATCCAAACTCCTTAGCAGGCGATGCGATCTGGCCCTTTCACAATCTGCCCATAATATTTTCCATCCTCCTTTTTCACCAGCCCCTAACATAGCTCAATGAATACATCTTGAGAGCCCATTATATGTCAAGCTCTGTGCCACGTTCTGGGGATAGAAGAATGAGCTGGCTGTTTCCTCTTGCCTCAGGGAGCTTACAGTCTACTAGGGGAGACAAGTATACAGACTGTCACAGTGCAATGTGGTAAGTGCTCAACCACACCAAATAACTGGTCACTTTCAATCAAGTCAGTCTCTTCTCTCTTTTCTTTCTTTCTTTTTTCTGCATGAGGTAATTCTCATGCCTAAAATATCCTCTCCTCTCTGCTCCTCTTCCACCTTGTGAACTTGCTTTATTCCTTCGACATTAGTGTTATCTCCCATTCTCCCACGGCATGAGTATGCATCTATTTTAGCACTGGTAGATGGCATTACAATGACTTGTTTACATGTATCTATCTCTCAAACTTGATTTTCAGCTCTTATAGGGCTGAGACAGCATGTCCTTCCTCTTGTGCCTCTGCCTCCTTGGGATGGTACAGAGTACCTCACATACAATGTAAGTACTTAGTAAATTTTTGCTAGATGAATGAAAGAATGAGCAACCAACCTTGCCACTCTGAGGTAATGGGAAGAATGAGACCCAGAGTTTCAGAGCTGGTCTTGAACCCAGTAACTTAAAGGTCCCCTTTGGTGAACTCTCTCTCTTTATCCCTTCCAAGGCTACTCCTGTTTTCCACCCTTATGCCCTTTCCAAAGACACTGGTTCTGTATCTTTTCTCTAATTTGCCTCCCCAGCTCCCCTCCCACCCCCCACCAGTTACCTGTTTTTTTTTGCCTCTGGAAAGCTGATGGGCAGCTCCTGTGAAAGAAAAAACAGATCATCATGTGTAAGAGCCCTGGCTGCTATCTTCCCTCCATCATTTGCTCCGTGGTCTCCTGAACATTCTGGGATTGACCTTCCCTCACCTCCCTCTAACAAAGATTCACCCTAAGTCAGTCCCAAAGCATTTACCAAGGGTACCACACCTCTCACAAAGGGATAGTTCTGGAAGGTGGAGTGGTACAACTGACATAACCAAACCCAAAATACAGCCTCAGGCAAGCAGGCGCTACATGCCAGGCATGAGCTTGGTTGAGGGCTATTCTGGGATTGTCTAACAGGCTAATCCCAGCAGAGGGTAAGGGAAACCTGCCAAATGAGGGGATATTCCTGGATTTGGAGACCTTCTTACTTCTTCTTCAGTGCTTTTTGTTCAGGATCTCTGCCAACCCAGGGTTCTCATTCTGGGAGTCACAGAAGCTGCCACAACTAGGACTAACAAGTGAGGACCCCTCAAAGCCCTTTCTAACAGATGACCTCCCTCCGTGCTTCCCTGTCCTTGGTTTTAATTAACAGAAAGTGAGAGATGTTCGACCTTTAACATCCACAGCACAAGGAGCTCTGAATTTAGTGAGTGACTCAGCTACGACGCCTGTGCTGCGGGACAGACCTGTTATATTCATTTCTGAGCCCCTGGGGTCCCCGATGGAGCCAGTGTGTCTATGTGATTGTCAACTGTTTGATGGCCAGAGAAACAACACTTGTCTGAGGAAATAGGCTGAATAGTTTGGAGCTTACTCCGGATGCTTTTTCTTGCTGGTACATTTCAGATTCTCACAAGAGCCAACCCTATTTGTCTGACTTCTGTCTCCCCAAGGAAGTTTCCTTCTTTTGCTAATTAAAAAGAAACAGAGAGAGGGAAACTTCTAAATCATGTTCATTTTACTAGTGTGAAAAAATCTGGCAGAGGTTTGTGTTTTGGTTTGATTTTTGGTTTTAATGCAGCTTGCTGATGATACACAAATGACAAGCAATAGGATATATTGGAGTATATGAGGAAGCCATTTGGTGTAAAACTAATTCGGCCTGACCTTGTTTTTCCAAAAGGACCTGACGTGGCCATTGAGCATGCATTGTATATCTGCTTTAAGCATTTGCTATATCCCAAAGACAAAAACAAATGCCCTTAAGATAAAAATGCAACTTCCCCTACATTGGCATTTCCTTAAGGATAAGCATCTCTCCCTAGGCTAGGAATTGATTGCTGTGCCCACCCTGTGACCACCCAGCTCGAGACAGCAGACCTACTACCTACTGTGTGAATAGCTGTGCTGTGCCGGCTAGGGCTAGGCAATCTCACTGCTAGGGCTAGGCAATCTCATGACTGTTGAAAAGGGACATTCCTATCATATGTGATGTATGCTCTTTCTTCCAAGACGGTATATAACCACTCTGTACACCCCACTTCTTTGGTGCCCTTCCTTCCTTGGGGAAGGAAGGCCCCGGGGCTAGTCCTCAGATCTGGCTCATAATAAACTCACCCAAATTTTTATTTATAGATTGCTTATGGAATTTGTGTCGACACTAACTTGCAAGCAGTTAGAATCTCCATCTGAACTCTACCAACAGTTCAGAAGAAAAGCTTTGAAGCCACTTCTGGGTTTTTCTACTTCCTCATCTGCCACTTCAGCTCCTTTCTCTTACCACTGCCTAGTCATAGCCTTATCCTAGCCTCTAACTCCTTGCCCCTTGTCACTACTGTCTTCCTACTTCTACTTAAATGGATAAAGAGAATATTAATTCTAAAATAACATAGACTTGGGGGACCCAATTTTAATGAATAGAGCCTTTTCCCAAATTGGATATTGCACAATGCCTGGACACAACCCAAACAGAATATTCAGTTAGACTCATAGGTGATAGGATTTTATTTTTAGCTCAGAGTTAAGGAAACTAAATGGGCACTGTCTTCTATTGGTAGCAAAAATAAAAATTGGTGCAATCTTTCTAGAATGCAACTGGCAATAAGTATAAGAAGCCTTAACCATAAATGTGTGTACCCTCTGATGTAGCAATTCCATATCCTAAGAATATGGATCCATATCCCAAGAAATAATCAGACAGGATGCTCATTGTAGCATTATTTATAATTGCAAAAAATAAGAAATATCTTAAATGTTCAACATGGGGAATTGACTAAATAAATGGCACTGCCAATCAGTGGAACATTATACATGCATTTAAGAAAGATGTTGGAAGAACATCTAATAGCATGGAAAATTTTACTCTTTATTAAGTTAATAAAAAGATAATAAGATATGTTTGGGGAAGAAAACTATACAGATAGGCATTTAAAAAGGATTATATGCAAATATACTAAAATGCTCCTGTCATTCTGAGTGCTTATATTTAGGGTTGCTTCTTATTTCCTACTGTTTGGTATTTTCTGAATTTTCTACAGTAAATGTGTATTATTTTTGTAATCAGAAAAAAAACCCCAAATAATATTTTAAAATAAAACTCACTTCAATTGTCATAGTATCTTTAAGTCTCTGGAAGTTTATTGAGATAATAAATGGAGGAGAATGATATTTATCCATTCCTACTAATATTGTAAGAGAAAAAATATATTTTGGTTAGGATATCTGCTGTAGCGTTTCTAGCCAGGCTCTAGAGTCAGACTGATGGTATCAGACCACCTGTGTGAACTTCAGCAAGTTTTTAACTTCATTAGGCTTCTATTTTCTTATTAATAAAATGAGGATAATAATAGAACCTAAACCTCATGGGATTATTGTAAAAATTAAATAAGATAATAAATGTAAAATACTCAGCTAGGTGCGTGGCATTTAATGAGCATCAGCAGAAGCTGACTACTGGGACTACCAGCATCAGAGGAAGAAGTAACCAAAAATGAGGAATACGAAGACTTGGGAAGAAAGGGAGTGAAAGAAGCTGTTTCACCTCCTTCCCTAGAAGCTTTTATATGTTTCTAGATGTCCTATGGTTGCAGGACATCTCAGAGTTTAAAAAGTGCCTTATTTGTTTGTTCAATCCTAACAACATTCCAGGGAAGGCATATTATTGTTCCCATTTTACAGATGGGTCAACTAAGGCCCTAGAACTTTGGTACCTTACTCAAGAAGGCAGGGACCAAATTTCCTGTTATTACTATGTCTTCTGCATCTATCACTATGCCAGGTACATATAGATGTTCAATAAAATATTTGTTTAATAAGTTAATGGATAAATGAATGAGAAGTAGGAACACTACTTGAATCCAATGTACTGACTCCAAATCGTATGTGCTTTTCAATGTACCTCACCTATCTCTCTAAATACAATAATGCTTTATTCATAAACAAGACATCTTCAAGTCTGACCCAGGTGGGGAATGGTATCACAATGGACAGGATATAACCAGGTCCAGGATTTTATAGTGATGACAACTCTGGGAAAGAATAATAAAGACACTACAAATAATTTATTGTGAGGCTTTCACATATTCTCTGCTCTTCAAACTTGTGATCTAAACAACATAGGTCATGTTATCTACATCTTATATATGAGGAAAAAGAGAAGTTACAGGATTTGCCTAAGGTCAAAGAGCAAATAAGCATGAAAGTCATAGTCACATGTTCCATGGAGAGCCTCCTCCCCTCTTCTGCCCTTTTAAATAAACATTTCTCCAAAGTCGATTTGCTTGATTTGGGAGGCAGTATTATGTAGTGATTTAAAATATGGGATTGGAAGTCAGACAGGCCTGGTTTCGAATCTGGGTTTATTTGCTTACTAGCCATGTTAACTCGGACAAGTTAGTTAACTTCTCTGAGCCTCAGCTTCTTGGAAGTAAAATGGGAGTGAGGCCTCCTCCCTCAAAGAATTGTTGGGACAATTAAATGAAATTGTTTATAAAGTGCCTGACACATAGTAAGCTCTCAAATGTACAATTATTATCATTATCTGGAGAAGGGAAGGCAGAGACGAAAAAGGAGAGGAAGAGGAGGACAAAGAGAAACAGTGCCAATACACCATTCCAACCCTGCTCTGGCCATTCTACAGCTGGCTTGGCTGTGTTTTCTGAGGTCTTCTGAAAGGTCAGAGCACAGAAGGAGGTGCTGCTCTGGTGTTGGCACCCGGAGGTGCCAGGCAGAGGAAGGTGGCAGTGGGAGGTTGGCAGAGAACTATCTGCAGGCTCTGTCTTATGTTCGGGGCCTCCACGTCCACCTACAGAGGTTACCCTCCACCCTTTCCCCCTACTCACCAGCTTCCCCCACAGCAGAGCCGGTTTCCCATGGTGCTCTGTCTCCGAGGGAGCCCAGCTGTTTTTGTACGTAAAGAGGCTTGTGCATTTCCTGGTTCGCGGTTTAGCTTTCAGCAGCAGCTCCCAGGGACTCTCTGTCAGTGTCAGATTTCAGCCTAGCAGGTTGGACTTCGGAAGCCACCTGCTGGAAGGATTCCCAGGTGACTCCTCCCAGCCAAAGGACAGAGTCACACAGCCAGGCTCCAGGTGAGACCTATCTCACCTTTGGGATTTGGAACTGTTTTGATGAAGCCGTGAACTTTGAGCTTCAAGCTTCAGTGAAAAGAAACCTGAGATAGAAAAGGGCTCTGGGTTTCCTTAGGAAATGTTTCTTTACTACTCACACTGTCACTGAAATACAGTCTCTATAATGGAGTAAAGAGTCTTACCTTAGGTTTCCCCAGAACTACTCAGGTTTAATTGAGTTTCACTTTCAAGGTAATCAGTAGCAGTTTCTCATTATCCCTGTCAGAATCTGGGTTTGAATACTGGAGTCACTTGGAAACTTAAATTTAGGGAAATGGATTCCTTTTACATTCTCCTTTGCTATTGGAATTAATGTGAGCAAATTACTTTTTTCTAGGATTGTAAAATGGAGGACCGAACTCATTACCTAATCTCTGTTCCGGTCAAAAATCATATGATTCTATGATTGGAATGGCCTCAGCACTTCTTCTTTTTTTTTTTTTTCCAAAGATTTTATTTTTTCTTTTTCTCCCCAAAGCCCCCTGGTACATAGTTGTATATTTTTAATTGTGGGTCCTTTTAGTTGCAGCTTGTGGGTTACTGCCTCAGCATGGCCTGATGAGCAGTGCCATGTGCGCACCCAGGATGCAAACAGGCGAAACCCTGGGCCACCTAAGCAGAGCACACAAACTTAACCACTTGGCCATGGGGCCGGCCCCTCAGCAGTTCTTAAAAACTCACTTCCCCATCCCCAGTACTGAACTACAGAATCTCCACTTAGACAACTCAGCTTCTCCTTCCAATGACCCAAAGTAAGACTCATTCCACACTCAACAGCAGCTAGGATGCAGTTGAGTAAATTCCTCTGTAGAAAATATGGGCTCCAGGAGAATTTATGAAACCTGTAAGGTTTGTCTTCAGTTCTCCCACCCCATCTGTAGTGTCTTGCACAGATGCCCAGTTATTTGTGTGCCTCTTATGGATAGTCAGGACCTAGCACTCAGCCCTGCACTCCACAGAGAGTATCATGGACTCTTGAGTCCTCCTCATCTTCTTTCCTTATGAAAAATGGCAATATTAAGAAGGACAGCCTTATAGGTTTGTGGTTAAGACTAAATGAGATAATGTGTATAAAGTTCTAGTCCAGGGTCTGGCACACGGGAAGCTTACAATAAGCCCTAGCTATTGTTATTATTACTTCTTATTCTCAGCTAATTGTCATCAGCTAATGTGGTAAAGCATCTTACTGTATTATTATCTTGTGCTGAATCATTGCACTAGCATCTTATTTCGTAGCCATGCCTCTCCCCAGCAATCCATTCCACCCTCTACCATTAACTATATTCTTTTCATGCTGTTACCCAAACTTCTTAGCCTGGCACTCAAAGCCCTCCACAATCTGGTCCCTTTCCAGCCACTTTCTCTAATTTAGAGGAAAACATTTAAGAGATTTTATATGACCAGAAACTCCAAAGGAACCAACAGTGTTCTAGTAGCCAGAAAACCCAATACACCTAAAGTAATATCAATAGAAGTCTAGAGTGATAAACGTGAGTATTGATTATTCTATTGAAGTCTGTACCAGTCAGTCCATGACTCGAATAATAATTTTAGGTTGACATGTTGAGTTTCAAGTTATGTTGTCAAAAGCCAGTGTGTTCAAGAGAAAGTTGTCTGGGTAATAAGTGGCATAGAAAGTCCTATATGATATGGTTAAAAGGACTGGGCATGTTTAGGTGGGAAAGGGAAGCCTTAGGAGGACACAATGGTTATCTTTAAATATCTGAAGGACTCTCAAGTGAAAGAAGGATTGTATTTACTTTCTGAACATAACCAGAACCAATGGGCAGAAGTTACTGAAATGCAGATTTTGGTTCAATAGAAGGAAGAATTTGTAACAGATATGTCCAAAAAGAAAATCAATTGGGCTACCTTATGACGTTCTAAGTTCTCTGTCGCTCAAAATGTCCCAAAAGAAGTTGATTAATAATCTTAAGAGAATTTAATTGGGATAGGGATTTGGACTAAATCAGAGGTCTCAAATTTTTTTCTAGCTAAGGAACCTTTTAAAGCTTATGTGTAAATCCCAGTTACAAGACAGATCAATGTGAAGCTGTTCTGGTTGAAGTCTGAGTAGGATCCTTTCTTTATTCTTTTTCTTCTCAACTAGGTATTAAGATTCCTGAGAGTAGACAATAGAAGACCATAGTTTTTATAATTTATATTTACAATGTGTATCCTCCATAGTGTATCACTTGGGGTTTGATAAATATTTATTGAATGAATGAACAAATGAATATATCAGTAGTTACTTCTCTGAGGCATGCCTTCATTTTTAATTGATGGCAATCCTTCAACCAAAAATTGAATTCTTCAAGTGAGGCTTCTTATCCTAGGGGTCTGCAGATCCCTAAGAGGGGCATATGCATGGATCTCAAGAGCTGTTGAACCTATTCAAATTGTATGCCAAATTTGGGAGCATGTGCCCTTTTTTGGTAAGAGAATCTATAGCTTCTGTCAGATTTTCAAATGAGTCTGTAACCCACAAAATTAAGAATTAACCACTTTAGTGGAAGAATTTCATATGTCCACCACAGCCTGGTAAAAGATATATTTTGGAGCAGGGAGATCTTCTGGACACTCCGCAAATCATACACACACATGCTCTCTTGATTACAGAGAGTAACTGAGAGGTCAAACCCCCAGACTCTCCTGAACACACCATACCACTAGTATTAAGACTACTTCCAAGGGAAGTTTCCCTGGCCATTGCCACCACACCAATAGCCCTAGATCCCTGCATTTAGTCTCTGATTGGGTGAGGTGATGCAGTGACTCCTCTCTTTGGGATGTTCCAAGATTAGAGACAAATACTTTCTTTTATGGGCCTCCCATGTGCAGAGGGTGGGGAGACTTTGGGGTTTGGTGACAATGGTAGAGGTTTCTGTGTTTGTGCCCCTGTGTATGCATACTTGGTCCCTCAGAATCAGAGAATATTTTCAGCGGACAGACCTGAGTATGGGAAAACAGGGCTTTAGGCAACTCTCTCCAGCCAAAACCTATTTTCCCAACCCCTACCCAAAACAGGCCAGACAGTCTGGAGACCCTTGTTTTTGTGTCTCTAATCACCAGCTCAGACAGTGCCCTCTGGGCTGTTTGGATGGCATATCCCTTTTCCCTCCCAGGATCACTCTCTCTTTTGTTGCATTGTGAGAAATGGCTAGGAATTTGATGTGGAGCCAGTGTCAGCTTCCGGGTGTGACCTCAGCATGCAAGTGTGAGCTCAGGGTGCTGTGACGTTGGGCACATCTAACTGAGAAGCTTTTTGTCTAGCTGGCTATTGACCTCCTCCCTCCCTGCCCATCCCATCCTCCAGGCCGCAGAATAGGGAGCAGCACAAACAAGGCCCTGAGATTTGGGTTTATTCAGCTCCACCCAGAACTAAACCAAAGGCTATGACACGTCCCAAGGGACCAAACCACACATTGTGGACCATGCACTCTTCCCTTCCCCCAAGGATGCTGCTACCTCTGGGGTGGTGGGCAGCTGCTCGTATCACCGCAGGAGGTAGAGAGGGGTTCGCTGGGTGCTAGGTCTGTGGCACTCAGGGCTCAACTGTGGCTCCCTCTTCCTCTTCCTCTGGATCAGGAGGCGCAGGGAGCAGGGAGATGTAGACCTCATTGACCTCTGTGTCCAAATGTCGGCCACCCCGAGGTGCCTCCAGGTTAAGGATGCCATCATGCGAGAGAGCAGCGCGGACCCGCCAGGGGTCGACATCAGCAGGCAGGACATAGGTGCGGCAGAACTCTCGGGACACGAAGCCGTGGCGGTCCAGGCGCTGGGGGTGCCGGGCAGACACCTCCAGCAGGTTGTCCACAGTCCTCACAGTCACCTCATCTGGGGTAAAGTGGCTCACATCCAGAAATGCCTGGAACTTGCCCTCACTGAGCCTGAGCTCAGAAGCCCCTGCCCTGCTGCCCTCCCCAGCTTGGGCAGCCCGAGGTCGGACATAGTAGCCATGGTAGAGGGTGGGGGTCAGGATTTCTTCTGGCAGGAGGCCTGAGGGGCAGAGAGAGAGAAGACAAGAGGCAGGATGAGGGAGCATGAGGTGGGAACAGGGGTGAAATGAGAGGAGATCAGGAGATGAGGATTGGGGACAGCAGGAGGGCGATCAGGAGAAGCAGGGAAGGGAAGGAGAGGGACATAGGGGCTAGGAGGCAGCTGGGGAGAGGCGATTGAGAACGGAACTGAGATGGGGGTAGAGAAGGGCAAACCAAACCACCACCCAGGGTGGACAAGAGGAACAAAGCACACTGGGGGTGGCAGGAGGCAGGTATCAGAGCTTTGTGGGCTCCAAGTCTGCACTGAGGTCACTAGGAAAGGGAGACAGCCCTGCCTGGAGGGGGGCAGGGGGAGTCTGGTGCGGGAGATGGCTTGCCCCAGGAGTTCAGTTAAGCCCGGAGTGGGGTGGAGGCCAGTACCATTGGGAGGTCAGCCCAGAATTTCAGGAGGTGGGGGTGGGAGGCAAGAGGGTGGTGTCTGTGCCATACCTTCTCCGAAGCGCTGCTCACCCAGGCGGCTCGGGTTGGCAAATTCGTACTCGGCGGTGGCCGGGTGGGCATGTGGCACTGAGCGGCCCGACATGGCTGCAGACTCGTCGGCGGTCCTAGTCCGAGGTGCAGCCCCAGCGACGCAGCGGGACCCCTCCAGCTGCCTGGAGAGACAGGGCTCACTTGGAGGTGGGGGCGGGGTCTACACCACCCAAAATAGTGCCGAGCCTCAGGAGGAGGGGCGGGAGCCGGGGCCCTGAGTGCCAGCGACGAGTGTGACCAGCGCCGCCTGGACCCCCGTCCCCTCCCCCCCCTTCAGCTGTCGCAGGGGGCCTGAGAGGACAGCTGGGGGTCCTGGCTGGGGAGCGAGCTGCAGCGGGGAGGCTGATGCCAGAGGCCCCAGAGAAGAGTACCTGAAACCCTCACAAACAGTTTGCACATTTTCCACACCACCTTTTCTCCTCTTCAGTCGCAGGCACCCTGCATCCTACTTCATAAAGCTCTCCTGGATTTAATGTTCTTTAGCCATGTAAGGTGAAAGATATAAGAAACCCTTCTATCCTTTTTGCTGGTAGGATGAGGGGTCTTTCTGCCCAAGTTAATGTCAGGGTCCTCTCCTGAACCCAGGTCAACCCAGGGCACCACACAGACGCCTGGCACTGACATGTTGACAATCACTGCTCTCCTCCAGGAACCAACAAAGAGTTAATGTCCCTGGGGCCCTGCCTAGGAAGATTCCAGTTCCTGCCCAGGCCCAAGATAGTTGCTGGCTCGATTCCTCTGGCATGCTAGGCTGGAGAAGAGGAGGAGGGGCACACTGCTGCCTGCTTAGGATTCCTGACTCTGTCCCAACTCCAGAGAAGGGGGGAGGAGGGGCCATTGGGTGTGGACGGAAAGTTAGTGAAACAAGACCAGGACAAGTCACTCGCCAGCTCAGATGTGTTTGTGTTTCTCTTTTCTTAGCTCAGTGAGTCCTGGGTATGTGTCACACTGCCAAATCCCCGATCACAAGTCCCCATGAACGGGCGGTGAGCTGGGATAATAAAACCCCTGACATCACCATTCCAGAAGCTTCACAAGACTGCATATATAAGGGGCTGGCTGTAGCTGCAGCTGAAGGAGCTGACCAGCCAGCTGACCCCCCACATTCACCAAGCCACCATGGACATCGCCATCCACCACCCGTGGATCCGCCGCCCCTTCTTTCCTTTCCACTCCCCCAGCCGCCTCTTTGACCAGTTCTTCGGAGAACACCTGTTGGAGTCTGATCTCTTCCCAACCTCTACTTCCCTGAGTCCCTTCTACCTTCGGCCGCCCTCATTCCTGCGGGCACCCAGCTGGATTGACACTGGGCTCTCAGAGGTAAGTCTCCCCTCTGCCAGGACAGGGGAGTTCTTCCTGGAACCTCCTGGAAACAACTCCATCTGCTCTTCTTTTCCTCCCTGCCTAAATCTGGCAATGTCTAAGTGTCTTAGGTACTTGTGCATCCAGCAGTGAAGAAAGATAAGGTTACTAGTGCCTCCCTCCTCCAGTCACCTGTTTGTATTTGATGTTCCTCTATATCCTATTTCTTACATTTTTTCCATGCACTATGAAGATCATCCTCCATTTCCTAACGTCTAAGTGGGATGCTTCTTTCTGGTTTGGTTCATAATGATCCCAGGGAGAGAGCTGTCTTCAGACTCCTTTTCTCAACTCTTCTAATACCTCATACACCTGACAAATTTTATCATCTGAAGTTTCAGAGCCAGAGAGTCTTACCTCATCCTGAGCTTTTCATCCCCTCTGCCTGGAGCTGGAGACAGCAACCAACTATTTTCTTCCTTTCTATTCCCTCTTCTGTGATTTTCCGGGTTTCTCAGGGCTAACAGGGCACTGGCCTGGGTCCAAGCCTAATAAGGAAAGAATGTAGGTCTAGTCTTGGGACCCCCACTTGTCCTAAGAGGGTGGGAGAATGGGGTGAACAGATAAGGTTGACAGAAGCTGTCACAGATAACACTCTGGTTTAAAAATATTCCAGTGTGAGTAAACAGGAGCTAAATAGGCAAGGGCTTTGGAAGGACAAATCAGGGCCAGCAGAACATTCCAGACTGAGTGGGTGGGAAACTTGGCAGAGAGCTGAGCAAGAAGAAGGGGGCTTTGTCTTACAGACAAATGACAAGGCCAGGCATTGGGATCGGAGAGGCAGCAGAAGCCATACCCAGACTCATCCTTGTGATTGGTCCCCTGGGTGGCCTGTCATCTTCCCTGTCCCTGTAAATAAAGTTTGGGCCTTGGGTACCACTGTGGTGGCTGCCTTGAACCAGAGAGCCGTGTTTATTAAAAAAAGGGATTTTTAGCCAAAAAGAGGAGGATAAACTTCCTGGACAGAAAGCAAGTTTGCAGACCGACGAGACTGCACTAGTGTAATCCACATTTCTCCCATCTTTTCTCCTACCCCCTCTTCTCTGCTTTGCTATTTCTAGATGCGTCTGGAGAAGGACAGATTCTCTGTCAACCTGGATGTGAAGCACTTCTCCCCAGAGGAACTCAAGGTCAAGGTGCTGGGAGATGTGATTGAGGTGCACGGCAAACATGAAGAGCGCCAGGTGTGTATCTTGTTTTCTCTTCCGCTCATTCATTCAGTGCATACTGCATGCCAGACTCTGCCATCAGCCTCTGAGGCTGGCAGCATGCCAGTACTAAGCCAAAAGGGTCTGGAATAGAAATAGACCTATTGTTGTTGTTTTGGCCAGAGAAGAGATCTTTGTTGTTTGTTTATTTTGATTTGATTGCCTTAGATGGGATAGATGGGGTGTTCACTTCCCATTTAAGCCAGTAGTTCTCAACTTGGCTGCATTAGACTCAGGAGGGGAATTAAAAAAAAAAAAAAAATCCCAATGCTCAGGCATATTCCAGACCAATTAAATGAGAATTTTTTGGGGTGGCACCCAGGCATCAGCGTTTTAAAAATCTCTCTAGGGACCGGCCCCGTGGCTGAGTAGTTGGGTTCGCACGCTCTGCTGCAGCGGCCCAGGGTTTCATGGGTTCAGATCCTGGGCGCGGACGTGGCGCTGCTCATCAAGCCATGCTGAGGCGGCGTCCCACATGCCACAACTAGAAGGACCCACAACTAAAAGAAATATTCAACTATGTACTGGGGGGCTTTGGGGAGAAAAAGGGAAAAAAAAAATCTCTCTAGGTAATTCTAACGTACAGTCTAGGTTGAGGACCACTGATTTGCACCCTGAAGGCCCTTGAACTTGGGACTTTTCTTTTAGATGTTCAGGAATCCTCTTCTCTTTAGCTCATCTTAAGGCTGAACTACTTGGTTTGCCTAAATTTTCAAACTGTACTCAGCTTCTAATACTCTGGAGCTCATGTGGAAATCAGTTAATTGAGAGCCTGTCTGGATAAATGCTTGAGATTGAGCAGGCATAAGGGTAGAGGTCAACTACTCTTTAGCAGAATTCTGAAGAATGGAAAACCTTCTCATTGCTTTCTGGAAGGGTTTTTTAATGAGTTTGCTTCTTACCAATCAGTGATAACTCTGTGCATCAAACAGTACAGTTTGGGGTCCTCAGGCTGTTCACGTTTTGCTCATATGATTTAAGTTTGGGTCATAGTCTCTCTAGATGGAGTCCTTTTTTTTTTTTTATTTTTTAGCAGCAGTCCTATTGGTCTGGAACATTCTGGGACATTCCTGAAGAGTCAGGATATTTTCTGGGTTTCCTCAGGGACTCAGATCTTCAATGCCAGATGATATTCCAAATCCTGTAGGCCCAACAAACATTGATCTAAACCTTTGGGAAATACCCTTAAATATCTCCATGCCTCAGGAAGTTTTGGCTGTTTCAGACTTTCAAAATTCTCATTGGTAGGAGTGACTACCTAGGCAACTTCATCTTAGCCCCAAACAGAACAGCTATATAGCTTTCTCTCATGTTGCCATGACATTTGGTGACACCTAAGGGAAAAGAGGATGTCTTGGTTCTAGGCAAGTAGTGCTATTTCCTGTTCTTATCTTTCTACCTCTTTCCTCATTCTCTTGGATTAGGATGAACATGGTTTCATCTCCCGGGAGTTCCACAGGAAGTACCGAATCCCAGCTGATGTGGACCCTCTTGCCATTACTTCCTCCCTGTCATCTGATGGGGTCCTCACTGTGAATGGACCAAGGAAACAGGCCTCTGGCCCTGAGCGTACCATTCCCATCACCCGCGAAGAGAAGCCTGCTGTCACTGCCCCCAAGAAGTAGATGTCCTTTCTCTAACTGCATTTTTTAAAACAAGAAAGTTTCCCCACCAGTGAATGAAAATCTCATGACTAGTGCTGAAGCTTATTAATGCTAAGGGCAGGCCCAAACTATTAAGCCAATAAAATATTATTCAGCAACAGATAACTGTCTTGTGTTTGAATATTCCATGTTCTAAAATAAATGTACAAATACAGCAGATCCATTTAATCATCCCATTATGATTTAGGGGGCTCCAGGGATATTAGACTCAGAATGACTGTCTCCACCACTTACTAATGGTATAAATTTAGCAAGTCACTTAACCTTTCTGCTCTTCAGGGCTTCCATTTATAACATGGGGTACTGATCTGTATGGTTGTTGTAAGGAGTAAATTAAGGAGAAAAAGTAGGTAAAGCCGTTGGGAGAATTCAAGGAATATAGGTTCCTCTCTCTCTTCCCTCTTTGATTTTGGGCCTCAGTTCTAACAACAAATATGAATAAACTCTGGATAACAAGACACAAAAGGCCTTAGTGCATCTCTGAAATTAATCATGTCACCAGGGAGGAGATGGTGTCCGCAATGTTATTTATTTTCCTACTGATAAACATTGCCTTCAGTTGATTCACAGGAACAATAAATAGGACTTGGGTAATTAAACAAGCCTCTTAGATGTAGTCTCTAAATTACCCAGCAAACACCTATTAAAACTAAGAATGGGAAATATCCAATTCAATGACCCATCCTAAAAAACTTTTTTAAGAATTACAATTAATAACTGATCAATAAATGATTCTATTATTTAGCTTCAACAAAGACTCTACAAAAACACTTCCATTTCACTTTTGTGGGTCTAGACAAAACTTCTGACTCAATTAATGAAAAATAGCCCTCATGTAGGTTGTCTGGCATGAATGTTTAGAGATAACTCTTATTTTTCTGTAGCAGCTTCCAGCTGATTTCTGATTTCTCACAAGGACTGACCAGGAGGTGAAGTTAGATTCTTGCCTTTACAAAGCCTGCAGTTTGGGGTCAGCCCTGCTTTTAAAATACTCCACATGGAATAGTTGTCAAAATCTTTCACGTTACCAGGGTGTGGAACTAGGACAACACAAATTGCAACTCTACACAGGTTCAAAATGTTTTCTTAAAAAACAACTTCCTAACAGTCTGAAATGCTGTGATCTAGCTGGAAGTCAGATTTCTCTAAACTTACCGACAACTTTTGTCATTGTGGAGCAGACGCTGTTGGCTGCCTAACCAACCTATTATTTACCACCTTCAGTCTTGCCAACAGTACCCCAATAAATCAAAGTCTGACTATTAGATCATCATATTTATGTTTTTGACAAATTCATTCAGAATGTGCACGGTCACTTTTTTATTACCACACCCAAGTTAGACTAGTTCTTTACTGTTATTCTTTTCCAGATCACACCCTTTGCTATGGCTGTTCATAGTAATTAGTATAGGACTTTTCTAGTCCAGCAGAAGTTTTGTGTTTTTTTGGTAACTTTCTAATTAGCTCATCTATAATTCTACTTCATTCCTTGTGTCTGAATTATGCAAGTAGATTAAGGCAATTCTAACTAGCATTTATTTTCCTTTTTAATATTAACTAACATTTATTGAGTGCTTACTATATGGTAGGCACTGTGCCGACTGCTTTACCTTTTTTATTATTTAATTAATTATTATTATTTTTTTTGAGGAAGATTAGCCCTGAGCTAACATCTGCTCCCAATCCTCCTCTTTTTGCTGAGGAAGTCTGGCCCTGAGCTAACATCTGTGCCCATCTTCCTCTACTTTATATGTGAGACGCCTACCACAGCATGGCTAGCTAAGTGGTGCCATGTCCACACACGGGATCCGAATTGGCAAACCCCGGGCTGCTGAAGCGGAACGTGCGCATTTAACCACTGTACCACCTGGCCAGCCCCTGTCTACTTTTGTATATTTTAAATTCTAATAATTAAAAAAAATTTTCTTTTTCTAGTACTTAAGAGGGGATGTTCATTAAGGTTACAATAAAGTTACACTATCTGAGCATGACTACTGGCTCATATCCAGAAAGCCTCTAACCAAATGTAACCTAAGTCATGTGGGATTTTGCAGTTCTGCCACTGACGACAGGCAGGGAAGAGCAGAGGGGTTGCAGATTTGAGAGAAATAATTTTTTAATGCCCTTCTACAATACCCCTAATGTAGAACTAAAAGCAGACATAATTAACTTAAATTTGACATTTAAATCTTGGTTTAAACAAAAAAAAAGGGATAGGGAATATTTTCTGTGGTTTATTTATTGAGAGTGAAACTGTGCTACAGTCAGCTAAATTCTTAGTTGTGCTTAGAATGTGCTCCCTCCTACATTCTACTCTGGAAAAATGAAGCTTCTTATTCTTTGTTAGAATCCTGGATCCTGAAATTGGCAGTTATTAGGATTCCACAGACAGATGGAGTGATGCTCTATTTCAGGCTTTGAATAGCTACTCATATAAGTTGACTTTTCTGTGCATTTGTATTGAGGAGGATCCAGCTCAGGTTGGTGTCCTGGGAACCAGTGAGGCTCGCGCTTAAATCCTGAGGGAAGAGACAAGAGAAGGAAAGACAAGTGGAATGAGTCAACAATAAGGAGTCTTAGTAACCAATCTCACTCTTATTTTTGAGGAAATAGACAATGAATACTGTCAAAATTGAAAAAGAGAGAAATCATTCACTCATTCTTTCACTTATTCACTCATTCAGTTTACTTTTATTTGAGTTCCTTCTACATTCCAGGCACTGAGTTAGGTCCTGGGAATATAAGAATTAAAAAGAATAGTCCACCTACTACGGGTTGAAAGTGGTGTTTTGTTGTTGTAGCTTGTATCATATGTTGTTTCAAAGTAGTGTCCAAACTGGAAAGAAAAAGTAATAGATTAAAAACATAGGAATCTCTAACCAATATTAGGAAATAAAGTACACAATGACATGAATTCTAACAGGCTGTGCCATATTTAAGATCGACTAGAGGTCTATATGTCATTAGCCTATATTCTACTAACTTTCGTATCTTTTGTATGTTTGTTTGTGTAGGAGAGATCTAAGGGCAAGATGCAGATAAAACATAAGTCTAGGTAGGCAAGGACTAGGGAGCAGCTAGCCTGAGATAGAAGGCATTATATATTTCTCGAGATGAATAAAGTCTGAACAGAAGCAAGAGAAAAAGAGTACTACCCATCCTTTTACTATCTTATGATAATATAATATTCAATTTCATAGTGAAGTGAGATACGTGTTCCATTGAGGACTGCTGCCCTCCCCAAACCACTTGGACAGAAGCCTGAGAGACCTCAGCATTGGAAGTTGTCAGATTCCTGACTCTCAAATAGCTACTGGTGTTTCTTTTGCTAACTGAAGGAAACAAAGAAGAGAAAGTTGGATTACCTGGGAAGGCAAGGGTTTGGGCTGCACAATATTCCTTAGGTCATATCTTTCCTGGTTCCAGTTGCCCATCAGGGTATGGTTCGAATAGGCATTCTCATTAGTGGTGCATCTCCATCCATACTGGCAAAACTTGGACATATCATTCCAATCGGTCCACACTTCAGCATGGCCATCTGCATTAATGAGGCTGCCATAGTGTGGGTTTGCAAGGTAACGGGCAAGAGACTGTCTCTGGAAATAGGTGAGAATAGAAAAGCTTGCTGCACAAACCAGAGAGCAGAAAAGGGATCCCTTTCTTACCCTTGGCCAAACATTACATAAGCACATCTTACTAAAGATCTAGGCTTTCCTCCCAATGTAATTGTTGTGGTTCTGTTTTTTTCTCTTCAGGTTCATTGAATGCTTTGACTTATCCTCTCAATCAGCAGTAGTGGATGACTATGTAGATTAAAGGCCCCCCACCAAAAGACAGGAAAACCTTCAGTATCCCCAATACTATATAGAGAACTAGCTAAATGTTCAAGTAATTTTGAGATGTAGGAGTTTAAGGACTAAGAGTATTCCTATAGTCGAAGAGAATAGGGAGAAGTGAGAGATGGATAACTAGATAACACAATAAATGATCAATAAATAATAGTTTCCTTTCTTCTATGCCCAGGTCAAATGCCACTTCCCCCATGATGCTTTCTGTCAAGTTAACTTCTCTCTCCTTTGTCTCATACTGAATTTTATGTTCACATCTTTCTATATTTATAACTTTCTACCATATGTTAGAATTCTTCAAGTATGTGTCAAATATCCTATGCTGAACTGTACATCCCTTGAGAACAGTATCTGAGTCTTACTCATTATCGCACCCTCTCCTTTTGCCTGCCCTCCCAATCAACAGAGCTTCGCACATACCAGACGACAGGTCTGAATTTCAACTTTTTGTAAGGAATCAAAAGCCTAACCATTTTTATTTTTGGCCAAAAGATGAGTCTGGTATCTTGGCTTAGGAGAGCAAGATAATACCTTGTCTGAAGAACAGTAATTTGATGCTGAGCTCGTGTTGTCTGAAGATTTTATAAGAGAGTGAAAGTAAATCTTACTCTGCCATTCCATGTTCTTTAAAAGAAGAGATGTTACCAAACCTGGCCCTCCCACTTCTCCAAGCAAAGGAAGAATGTAGATCACCCAGATCACCATAGCCAGGTGGTCATGATTTCGGAGTCACCTCTCACCCACCTTTCCACAGGTAGGGACACAGCCAATACTGTAGGTTAAAGGTAGCTACCCTCACACCATGTGCCTTTGTGAAGATAAATGCACACACTGATGTCAACAAACAGCATGATGACTAAAGAGTAGCTAGGCCCACAAAGTCTAAGAGGCCTAGTACTCAGACTGCAGACCAAGGTGACACTATGCCTGGGGCTCTAAGGACAGACATAACCATCCACTTAGTTGTCTAAGCCTGAAACCTGGGGCTTACCTTTGATTTTGATTTCTTTTTCAACCCGTTATATCCATCCAACCACTAGGTTTTGCTGATTTTTGAATCAGCCCACTGGCCTCCATTCCCACTGCCAGGTTCCAATTCAGATCACTAACAGTCTTTGTCTCCATTACTGCACTAGCCTTCTATCTGATCTCTGCCATCAGCCTTTTTCTTCTCCAGTCCTTTCTCCATAGGAAAGCAGAACTTTTGAAAAGAAAAATCTAATTGTGTCATCTTCCTATTTAAAATCTTTCAGTGGCTCGCCACTGTTTTCAGAATAAGGTTGAGATTGTTAAAATAGCTTACAACACTCTACACCACCTGGCCCCAGCTTAACTCTTCAGTCTCATCTGTTCCCCACTCTCCCTGTAACTACATTTCAGGCAAACTCAACTACCTCATGCTTTTGTGTATATTGTTCCTTCTGCCTCTTCACTTTTCTTGACCCGGGTAAGGGGTACTTTTTCCCTTCGTTGGCTTTCAACTCAGGTTCACTTCATCCAGAGAATCTTTCCACTTCACCCCAAAACTTGGTAAGCTTCTGCTGTGTGCTCTCATAGCATCCTGAATTACTCCACTCATAACACCGCATCCCACTGTCTCAGAATTGCCTGTTTTGCTGTGCATTCTCCACCAGACTACAAGCTTAGTAGAAATCACAGGCCACATCTTGCTCATCCATGTATCTAATCGCACTCACAGTGGCCTGGCACATTACAGGCACTCAACATCTCTTGAATGAATAAAAGGTAGGATATAACCACCTGGAGAAATCCCGAGCAGCAGAGGCAATGGGCAGCAGCAGCCATTTCCGACGAGAGGAAGGCTGTTATAAAATCCTCTGTGACAACAACTTGCAAGACACAGCCCCACCTCTCCTTGGCCTCAGCCCCGCCCCGCTTCTTTCACCCAGAACTCGCCTCATGGCCTGCCCCTCTGCGCTAGTGACTGCTTGTGACCTCATGCAGGTGTGACGAAGTCGCTTAGAGCCGGCCTCGGGCCAAAAGACATTTATTTTGACACTCCCGAGCGGGTGGAGGAGCGAGGGGACGGGGTGGCCGGTTTCTCGCTTTTGCATTCATGTCTATCTTCCTCCATGGATGTCAAGACAACCGGACGCTGTGGGCGCGTCATCAACCAGCGACTTGTGAAGAAGAGGTGACGAGAAACCTGCGAAGGAAGTGACGTAAGAAACGAGCGCCTCTGAGAACGCCAGCAGGGAGCATGTGGAGGCCATGGCCCCTCGGCGCCTCCTGTTGGTTGGGGAGGGGAATTTCTCCTTCGCCGCCGCTCTGAGCGAGACCCTGGATCCGAGCACCAGTCTAACCGCCACCTGCCTCCAGCGCCCGGCCGACTTGGCCCGGGATCCGGTGGCCCAGGAGAATGTACAGCGCCTGCGCGAGCAAGGTAGCTAGGCCCGCCCCTCCACGAAGCCCGGTGCCTCTGCCCGAGCCGCCCTAAGCGGAAAGGGTGGGCATGTGGGGATCAAAGAGACGTGGGGGCTGCTCTTGATCACTCCGTGGACAGTTTACAGAGAGTACGCTGTGTGCCTAGACCTGGATTGTTTTGCATGGTTCAGGTTAGGGAGAGGTTTCTCTGGTTCCAGGTCTTAAGATATACTTCTGTGTATATTTTTTGCCAGGTACAGAGGTACGTTTTGGTGTGGACTGCACCCAGCTGGCAGATGCCTTTGAACTGCACGACAGGGAGTTTGATAGAATTTATTTTAACTTTCCACATTATGGACGCAAAGCTGGAGTAGCTAAGAACAGGGAGCTGCTTGCCAAGTTTTTCCAGAGGTGAGGAAAGGAGAGCATTCACAAGTAAAATGTTTAAGATGTACCTTACAGTTCAAGTGCTCAAACATTTTGGTTTGGGAAGTAACGTGTACATGTGTATGATACGTTTAGAAAGAATACAGAGCTCCAAGGGAGCCCACAATCTAGTTGGAAAGGCAGACATACTACCCTAAATACTAAATGAAAGTACAAACTGTGTACTCTTGAGTGTGTAAACGGAGGATCACTTATTTTTGACAATATGAAATAATGGTAGCCAATATAGCCTAATGACTAAGAGCATGGATTTAGGAGCCGAACTGCCTGGATTCAAATCGCCACCCACCACTTAATAGTTGTGTGATTTTGTCAGCTTACTTAATCCTTAGATGCTCTTGCTTCCTCATCTATAAACAGAGGATATTAACAGTAACTATCTCATAAAATTATTGTGAACTTAAAACAGTGCTTTACACTGTTATACTAAAACTTATAATACTGTTGGAGGTCTCTGTGGGTCATAGTTGTCAAGAAACTTTTCACACAGACAGTATTTTAAGTTACTATTTGAAGTATAGAATTTCAATAGGCAGGAGGGGGGTGAAAAGAACAACTTTCTATATGGGGAAGAACACCCTGATCAGTGAATGATGTATAGAAAGTTTGCAGACATTGGCCCTTCTATGACATATAGATGAACAATGCAAATACAAAGCTGGGTAACACCCTGGTCAGCCACAAGTATCAGTTATGAGTTTAACACTGAATTTACATTTTTATTTACTTGCAGTTACTTTCTCTGCATGTTTGAAGTCTAATAGATCTTTGCAAATAGGTATAATTGGATCTTAATTATTTCAAAGCCAAACTCTCTCTCTCTCTATATATAGCTAACTCCTGTGGTAATTTCTACTTGTTTCTGATAAATGTCTGGTGTCTCCCTCCCCCGGTTAGCTGTACAGACGTTCTTGCAGAGGAAGGAGAGGTCCATGTGGCATTGTGTAGAGGACAAGGTGGGACTCCTGCTGATAAGCCCATGAGAGAATGGCACAACAGTTGGCAAGTGGTTGCCATGGCAGCTCTGGGGGGATTCATTTTAAGTGATGTGTATCCCTTCAGCTGTGAGGCTGTGCCAGGGTACAAGAGCACTGGCTATAGGTAAGTAAGAACAACGGTCTAAGCCTTCTCCTTTTTTCATCCCTTTAATGATGAAAAAAACATCTCCTAGGCAAACTTTTCCCCTGCCAATTTCCTGATTTATTCCCTAGAAATATTTGCCTTCTTTAATAATGACAGACTTCATAGTTGGTGTCTGTTTTGCCAGGAGTCAAGATAAGTCCTTTCATGTAGAAGGTGCTTTGAACCATATCTTTACCCGGAGCCTACCCTTTGAAGGTTTGCAACCCAGAATCTTCAGGATCAAACTGGGTGACCAGTGGTTTTCCTTTCCAGAACCAGAAGCACTTGTAGGAAAGTTGAACAGGTAACCTGTTATTTTACCAGAAAGCACTTCGATCTCTAGTTGTATCTTGATTGGCTTGATGGCAACCATTTACTGAATGGAAGCTACATAAATTGTTAATAATGGTGGTACTGTGAATACTTGTCAGTCTGGCCTGCAGAAGCCTGTTTAGAATTAAAAATTGTCATATTTTCTGGTGTATTGTGGGGATGATGGTGTCAGAAATCTGAAACACATGATGTGTCTGTTTATGGTAGATGATTTCTTTGTTTCCTTTCAGGATCAACTTAAAGATAATTTTTTCTATACATCTATTTGTGTTTTTAATTCTAGCTACATTATAGTTATCATTTTAAGTTAGAAGAGTTATTTTTTCTGTGTGTTTAAACAGGGGTTTCCTAGAAGCATCTTCATGTCATCCTGTCAAAACCATAAATGAGAAACTCATTGCTGAATTGGACAAAGCTTTCCCTCTTAAAAGGGTGAAGTGTTCCTTCCCTTTGCTGCCACAGGGAGGCACCGGTGTTGTTACTTCTTGGAACTGTGACATTCTATCAGCTGCCTTTTGGATTAGTTTCCACGAAGATAATGCAAATTCTGAGTCCCTGACTGGTGGGACAACAGAAGATATGGAGGACTGTCTAGTGTCATTTTCAGAACTTAGCCTTCCCAAGAGCCCTGGAAGAGACAGTAAGGAAGAAGCTCATGAAGGTATCTATAGCCAAGCCAAGATCTGCCTTAGACCTTCTCTCCTAGTTCATGTTCAGGCTGTCATCCAAGCGCCAGACTTCCTCCCAGGTTCTCTGCACATCCTCAGTGGACCTGTCTTTCAGAAGTGCCGCATTTCGCCTTTCACAATGCCAGCATTTCATGAGACTTTGTTTATCTTTGGGTTTAGTGAAAATCTGAAGGATGGCTGCCTTCAGTCACTACTGGATCACCTGAAGGGCATTCTAGATAACCTTCTAACCCAGACATTCCTGGAGGGCTCTAAGCTAAGCAGTTCGGTGGAATTTGTCTTTCAACCAAATGGGAAAGATTATATGATTAATGTAAAGTCTCATAATTTGGGCCCAGATTGTGCCAAGGATCTGATTATTGGGTCTGTCATCACATCTGCTACAAGCATTTTACACGAAGACCAGTGTTTTGTGTTTGTGTCTATGAACTTGGACCTATTAGCCATGCTTGTCTGGAGTATCTCTGACTGGAGAATGTTGTGGACCTTTGACAACCGTTTCTTGAAGAATTTTGTCCCTGGGAAAATAGAACCCTTTAAAAGCTATTCCCTATATCCTCCATGCTATGTGCATGATATTAGTTTTTGGTTAGATGATAAGAAAGGATTTGATGAATTAGAGTTTCATACTTTGGCCCGAGCAGTGTCCCAGGACACTGTCATATCCATACAATTCCTTAGTCGTTTTCAGCATCCAAAGACTGAACAGGTCAGCCTTTGCTATAGATTGACCTACCAGACCTGTGACAAGGCCCTCACCCGGCAGCAGGTAGCATCAATGCAGACCCAGTTTAGGAAAGAGATTCAACAACAACTACATGTGACTCCTCGGTAGTTTAGTAAATTCATTTCTATAGTGTGATCCTCCTGGGTGTGGGCATAGATGAAAAAGACCAATTTGTAACTGGTAGTCCTTCTGGACTGTGTTTTTTGTAAAATTTTTTACCTCGTGACTATAGCCATTGTGGGTTGACTCTAAAGATATTTGTAACTCTGTCACTTAAACTTATAGACTATACTGAGATTGGTGACCTTTGGAGCTGTACAATATTTTGATCGTGAGTAATGACGAGGAAAACAAACCAATAAAACAGCATCTTGTACTTCAGATGCTCTGTTGATGAAGAGGCGGTAGAACTTGAATGTCTCATCAAATATGTTAAAAATATATTTTCCACACTGTCAGTTCTTCCTCCCTTGCCTCTATTGTATCATCTCACTAAATCAATATACAAGAGTGGTTTCTGGACCAACATGTATTAGCTTGGGTAAGTTACAAGTGCTCCATAATTAGTATTGGGATCATCGTCATTTTTATTCTGTGGTTGACTACTGTTAAAGTTATGGAACTAATAGAGTTGACACTGGGGTCTGTCTGACTCTAAAGCCTCTGTTCTTTCTGCCACTTTGTGTTACTTTGCTTCTCCTTCCATCGTCTTCTTCAACAGTAACCTCTCAACTTTGATTAACTCTAAACTTTGCCCCCCTAGATTTTGGGGTCTTCTGTTGTAAGCATCTCTGAGGGACACTGGGAGATTGGCACAGCCCAGGACTCTGCAGAATGGACTACTCTAATGTGAATTAATGTATGTTCATGTTAACTAATAGGTAGGCTCCACAGACTGGAGTTATATTGTAAAGTCTGTGAAGGAAATAACTGTCCTATTTAGTCTTGTATTTGGAGAAAAGCATGTGGGAAGGCAAGAATGGAAGCAAAGAAACAAATTAGGTTATTATGGTAACACAAACGAGAGAATGGCGACCTTTATCAGGGTGGTAAGAAGTTGTTAGATTGGGTAATATTTAGAAGGATTTGCTGATGAATTAAATATATGTGCATGGGTTGGGGGTGTGGGGTTAGAGAAATAGAGGAATCAAGCAGGACTCCTAGGTTTTTGACCTGAGAAACTGGAAGGAAAGAAGTGTCATTAACTGGAATGGGAAAATTGGCAAAGGTTTAAGTTTGGGGAGTGGAGTCAAGAATCAAGGGATCTCTTATGGACACGTGTGTTGCTTACCTCTCCACATAGGTTATAAGCTAATCAAGGGCAGGGAATATGATTTATAGCTTCCTTCTATCCCCAATAGTGCCTGGCACGTGGGTGAGGTAGCATTTGAGATGGATCTTAAAACAAGGGCAGGGATGTGATGGGAGGATTGTTAGGCAAGGAGCCATGCATGCATTCCAGGCAGAGGACATACAGGAGCAGAGGTAGAGGTAGGCAACACTAGGGGCACTTTTCAGGCTAGTTAGTTGGAATGTAAAATGTGTATAGGAAAGTAGTGGGAGATAAAATTAGAAAACTAGGTTGAGGCTGGAGTTAGTTCATGAAAGACTGATAGAATAAGGTGTTTGTACTTGATTTGGCAGGCAATAGGAAAAATCTAGTGAGTTTTATTAGGGAAGCAACACTACTCTTCCTTTTACTAAGGAAGAGTTGTGCTTTTGAAAGTTAATTGGACAGTGTTGCACAGGATGAATCTGAGATGGGAGATCCCTGTAAGGATACTATTGTAGTAGTCCTAGGCAGAGGCAAGGAGGGGCCTGCATTAGAGTGAAATGAAAAGGAGATGGATATATGAGATACAGCTAGGCTGGGATGTCTGAAATCGGTAATTAATAATTTCATGTAGGAATTGAGCAATATGATAAATCTCCATTTTCAAAATTTGGGAATTTTTAGTATGAAATTCTCAACCTAAATAAAGAAGTAAACTGATGCAGGCTGAAAAAGTAATAAGTTTATTCAGGAATAGCAGAGGAATTGCAATTTGCGACAAGCAGGCTATAGGTTTTAGGAGGATTGGGGAGGGTTGTTTTGAAAAAAAAGTTCATTGCAGGGGTCCAGCCCATGGCCGAGTGGTTAAAGTTCTGCCTGCTCTGCTTTGGCGGCCTGGGTTCACTGTTTTGGATCCTGGGTGCAGACCTACTCCACTCATCAGCCATCCTGTGGAGGCATCCCACATATAAAGTAGAAGATTGGCACAGATGTTAGCTCAGGGCTAATGTCCCTCAAGCTGAAAAAAAAAGAGGATTGGCAACAGATGTTGGCTCAGGGCAAATCTTACACACACACACACACACACACACACACAAAAGTTCATTGGAGAAGAACAAGAGTTAGAGGTTGTTGTGGTTTCTTATTGGCTGCAAGTGGTGGTTAGGGCAGGAAGGGATATTCCTTTTCTTAAAAGCAGGAGATGAAATTCCCACGTGAAAAATGTCCTCCCTTGTACCAGAAGAAAAGTAACATTCCTATCATCACAGATAAGTTGAGACCGAGAGAATTTTATACAAAGAATTCTAGACAAATAGATCTTGTTATCTTCCTTCTTCCTGCTGGGTATGCAGGCTGCAAGGAGTGGTACAGAAGTGAGCGCTCCCCCTTCAGGGCTTTCTGATTCCATTTTAAATGAGGTTTTCCTTTACTTATTTTGACAAAATCCTAACCTGGGAAACTGTCAAGTCAGCACCCTCTCTATAAACTTGTCTCAGTTACTGCTACAGTGCTCCACAGGATGGGATGGAACTCTGACTGGGGGAGTGGGCAGAGTGTCAGGAATAGAATAACTCCTGAGAGTCACAGGCGTGATCTCGCCAAGGTGCCCGTATAAAAATCCCTGTATGAAATCAGTTTTCTCCTGACCTTCTGGTGGGAAGACCAGGGGCTTTGTAGTAAGACAGACCTGGGTTGGAATATGGCTCCACCATTTTCTAGGTACGCAACCTTGGTCTTCAGTTTCCTTATGGATAAAACAGGTCATTGTATTATATTTTAAAAAGATAAAATATGTAAAATGCTTACCATAATGCTGACATAGCAATGGCAGGGACTGGTGTCTGGTTGAATTTGTTGCAGAATTTCTTCAGTCTCACTTTTCTTCTTCTATATTCTGCTATTGTGGCTTTGTCTCTCTGAAGCATTTAAGTAGCTACAGGCTGCCTCTGTCAATAAAACACAGGGCAAGCATCAGTGACCTTTTAAAAACCTCCCCTTTTGTAGGCAGCTGTGCTGTGATCTTTCAAACCTCTGCGCACTCACTTTGTATAGTCGTTGAACCACTTTCTACCTGTGCTTTCTTTGAAAATAGGGGACCTGGAGGGAGGTTTTTGTAGGAGAGTGGAGAATGCAGAGAAGTGAAGGAGGAGAGAGTTGGAGGGAGGGAGGAATGCCCAGAGTTACAAGTATGTGGAAGGGATGGCTGTGATCGTGAAAGTCAAGTCTGAGGTCCCATTTCTTTTCTACTCAGGGATTTGCCCCAATTGGCCAGAAACGCTATAATTGAGTCTTTTCTGCGCATGTCAAAGTCTTTTGTCCCTCGGCGGACACCGTTTGCCAGCCAAAGCTATGTCTCCACGTTCGCCGCCCTCGTAGGGTGCCGAATGCTACCTGCTTGTCCACGTCTGCCATGGCAAGCCGAGGGGTCCGGCAGCGTCTGAAGGGAAGCGGGGGCAGCGGCGGGGACACGGCCTCCGCCGCGGACAAGCTGCGGGAGCTGCTGTGCAGCCGCGAGGCGGGCGTCGGGGAGCCGCGGAGCGAGTAGGTGTGCGGGCGCGGCGGGGGCGTGGCCGGCCGGGCGCCTGGGCGCGGGGCCGCCCCCGGGAGGGTCCTGTCGGCGCCGCGCGCGGGGCTTCTCCCGGCCGCCCGGGCAGTTCTGCTCTTCCTGGGCGGGCCAGCGTTGCTGTTCGCCCCGCTTTAGATCCCCCACGTCGGGTGCCCTGTTTCTTGTTAAGAAACCCCGGAGTGCAGGTCTGTGAGGCTTCGGCCCAGGCCCGGAGTGGGCTGGCGTCCGGTGGTGGAGTTGGCGGAGTCTCTGTGGGAGGCGTTGGCGAGAGCAGAGTGTACCTTTGTCGGCTCTCTCCCCCAGCTTCCTTCATTCCCTCCAAAGCCGTGACCCTTTCCTTTTCTGTGTGGGCGCCACACGCTCCAGCGCCTGCAGCCACCTCTCTTCCCAAGCCCCGGGGACTGCAGGGTAAGGAGCTGTCAGCACCGGAGTTGGAGGAGGTTACGTGCTTTGCACATATTAGGCGTCTATACATTTAAACAAGTGGGGAAATGCATAAAGCCGCGGAAACTAATGACCTTGTTAAGAGAAGAAAAAGAGCTTTGTGGCCTTCGATTGAGCAATTAGTTGGCTTGGGATAAACTAAGTGTCATAGATGCAATGAACTAAAGTGTATGAATTAACTTACACGTTAAAAGCAGGAAGTGGAACGAATCATTAAGGTTGATTAAGGTCTTAATTCATTTCTTATTCTATTCAGAACAGTTAACGGCTCACCTTTTTAGCTGAATAACTTAAGTACTTTGATGTCCCTTGCCATTCTTGTCCTCTCTGTCTAGTTTTAGTCCTTCTGCTTAGCAGATCTTCCTGACACATACTTCTTTTTGCTTCTGAGCAGGTTATCTGGGAACAAAGCAGGACAAGTGTGGGCACCTGAAGGATCTACTGCTTTCAAGTATCTGCTCTCAGCAAGGTTATGTGCTGCTCTCCTGAGCAACATCTCTGACTGTGATGAAACATTCAACTACTGGGAACCAGTAGGTGATTTCTTTAGTTTTTGTTGTTGTTCTTGATTTCACTGCTTGGGACCTTGTTACCAGTCAAGATACAAATAGTATACAAATGTGACTACTAGTAACATAACTTTATTTTCACTTTTGTATTCTAAGCTGATGATTTACCTACATTGAAGGCTATAGGAAACTTGGCTGTTTTACAAAAAGGTGAAATTTGTAATTTTCTTAAAACTTTTTTTTGATCAAAATTATACTTCGAAATAGTTTTTTGTTTTTTTATTTTATTTTTTAAAGATTTTATTTTTTTCCTTTTTCTCCCCAAAGCCCCCCAGTACATAGTTGTATATTCTTCGTTGTGGGTCCTTGTAGCTGTGGCATGTGGGATGCCGCCTCAACGTGGCTTGATGAGCAGTGCCATGTCTGTGCCCAGGATTCGAACCAACGAAACACTGGGCCGCCTGCAGCGCAGCACACAGACTTAACCACTCGGCCACGGGGCCAGCCCAACTTCGAAATAGTTTTTAAAGTTAACTGCTGCTGGGGCTGGCCCCGTGGCCGAGTGGTTAGGTTCCCCCGCTCCGCTGCAGGCGGCCCAGTGTTTCGTTGGTTCGAATCCTGGGCGCGGACATGGCACTGCTCATCAAACCACACTGAGGCAGCGTCCCACATGCCACAGCTAGAGGGACCCACAACGAAGAATATACAACTATGTACCGGGGGGCTTTGGGGAGAAAAAGGAAAAAATAAAATCTTTATAAAATAAGTAAAAAAAATAAATAATGTTGGTAAATAACATGCTTATACTGCTAATTCTTGATTTATACATTCATAAGTGTGTTGACTTCCTATTATAGAAAATTCAGAGGTGAAATTTTCTGACCTCATTTTGTATCAGAAAAATAAAGAAGGCTTAGTGTAAGTAGTTTAAGGAAAATATAAAATTTAGAATTTCTCTGTTTTGGTTAATGAGTATTTTTAAAAAAATAAGTAGAGGGTAAAATTCAAGCTTTCAATGTTGATCAAACAGTAATGTTGTAGAATTTATAATGGCCGAATGTTTTTCAATATTGGGTCATTTTGATTCTTATCTATTACTTGCAAATCTTGTTGAGAATTTCAGCATTTTTGTGTCTCATTCATATTTTTGCTTAGAAATTTCACCTGTATCCTCTTGACAAGGATTTTTGGCCATCTGTTTTGTACTTTCAGACACATTACCTCATCTATGGGAAGGGATTTCAGACTTGGGAATATTCCCCAGCTTATGCCATTCGTTCCTATGCTTATCTGTTGCTTCATGCCTGGCCAGCTGCGTTTCATGCAAGAATTCTACAAACCAATAAGGTAAGGGCAGACCAACCTGAAAGCAGTCACAACTGATCAAGAGGTGAGTCTCTGAAAGAGTTTAGGAAAAGAACAAAATAGATTGCTAGTTAAGAGGGGACTTTTTTCCCAGAAGAATCATTTATTCATTCATCATTCAACAAATATTAATGGAGCAGCTTTTATTTGGTAGACTTTGTTAAGTACTGTGGATGTACCAGTGACCAAATCTCTGCCCTCATGGAATTTATAGTTTAGGGGGGAAGAGGATTGGTTGAATAAGTAATTATAAATGCAGTGGGTCTTATGGAGGAAAAGTACTGTGCAATGGGATAGCATATAAGGAGAGCCTAATTCAAACAGTGTTGAAGGATAATTAGGAGTTACCTGAAACCTAACCTGATTATTTTTCATAAATTTGGCTATTATGTGTGTTGGCATGGATTTCTTTGGATTTGTCCTGTTTGGAGTTTACTCAGCTTCTTGAATCTTTAGGTTTATGTCTTTTGCCAAATTTGGGAAGTTTTTAGCTGTTATTTTTTTGAGTACTTTTCAGTCCTGCCCTGTTTCTCCTATCCTGAGACTCCACTGATATGAATGTAAGAGTTTTTATTGTAGTTCCACAGGTCCTTGAGGTTGTTCTTTTTTTTCCAGTCTATTTTCTCTGTGTTGTTCAGATTGAACAATCTAATCTTTCAGTTCACTGATTCTTTCCTGTGTCCCCTCTGTTCACTGTTGAGCCTATCTACTGTGCTTTTATTCTGGTTATTGTATTTTTTCAGTTCTAAAATTTTGATTAGGTTTTTTGTTTGTATCTTCTGTTTCTTTACTGAGACTTTCTAATTTTTCATTCGTTTCAAGCTTGTTCTTAATTGCTCGTTGAAGCATTTTCACAATGACTCTTTTAAAACTTTGTTGGATAATTTTAATATCTCTCTCATCTTGTTGTTGGTATCTGTTGATTGGCTTTTTCATTCAGTTTGAGATCTTCCTGGTTGACAAATAATTTTCAGTTGAAACTCAGACATTTTGGGTACTACATTATGAGACTCTGGATCTTATTCATGGGCCCATCTTGCTTCCTCTGCACCACCCTGTTCCTCTTATTTAAGCCTCTGTTTTTTAAAAAAAATTTTTGAGGAAGATGAGCCCTGAGCTAACATCTGCTGCCAGTCCTCCTCTTTCTGCTGAGGAAGACTGGCCCTGAGCTAACTTCCATGCCCATCTTCCTCTGCTTTATATGTGGGACTCCTACCACAGCATGGCTTGCCAAGCAGTACCACGTCCGCACCCGGGATCCAAACTGGCGAACCCCAGGCTGCCGAAGTGGAACGTGTGAACTTAACTGCTGTGCTGCCAGGGTGGCCCCTAAGCCTCTGTTTTAGCAGGCTTCTTTTCGTACCACTCCTGCAGGAGAAAAGAGGGAGTTCTCCACCTTGTTACTGCCAAGTGGGAGTAGAAGTCCATGTTCCCCAGTAGGTCTCCACTGATACCACCCTAGTGGGCAGAGTAGAGGTACCTCATTATTGCTAGGTTGTAGGGGGAGGTAGAAGTCCAGGCTTTCCAAGTGGTCTTCACTGACACTGTGGTGGGAAAGGGAGCTCATTACCACCAGTGAGGATGAATGCCATGGCTTCCTGCTGGACCTTTGTTGGCACGATGGGGAATGGGGCTGCAGTTTTTTTTCTGGAGTACTTGGCTAGATTAGAGTGGTTACTGTCTAAAAGTTTTGTGTCTTGCTAGGCTACCCTTTTCATGGTCTTTTGGCTAGATAGAGCAGGCCTTGGCTGGTGTTTTTTTGTCTGTACCCATTGGTATTTCTAGTTGCTAACTTCTTTAGCTCCAAGTCTAGAATATAGAAGGCAAAAAGAAAATCCAGGGAGCTTAACCATGTTGTCCCTCAGGTCCCAAAGTCCCTAGCCAGTCTATCTTCTTCTCACCTTTCAGAGTCTTCTTATGTTTGTTTTACATATAACGTCCAGAGTTTTTGCTTTTACATAGCAGGAGGAGTAGGGAAAAGTATGGCTAACTCATCTTCCGTGAAGCAGAAGTCCCTGATTAGAGAACTAGAGCATAAGCAGGAGTTGTCTAGGTAAAGAAAGAGTTGGAGATGAGGGACAAAGGCCTTGAGGCTGGGAAGAAGCCAGCATGGCCTTCTTGTATAGGTAGGTTTGACATTTGGAAGAGAGAGTGAGTAGTGGACTGGATTAGATGAAACTAAGAGGTAGGAAGAGGCCAGGTTTATACAACACTTGGTAGGCTCTATTAGGGAATTAGACGTTTTTTTCCCCAAGTGCATTGTGAAGCCATGAATAGTTATAGACAGAGGAGACACATGA